CAAAATCAAATCAAAGTTGTAGAGACAAATAAAATTCCTAAAGAGGACATAAATCCCGTTGACTCAAATGGGAAAATTTATCCTTTTGATCTGAACAAGACGCCTGTGGATGAAGAAGATTATTAAAAAAGATATTATCTTTCCTTGATTTTTGAAGTTATTTTTTGAAGTTAAAGCCTTATATTCAACATTGTAACCTAAAAACATTTTGAAAATCATGCCTATTACCTTTCTTTCTCTCTAAATGTTTTTAAATCCTTGCTGCTCCTTTAATTTATCAAAAAATATTTATCAAAAAATTATTAATCGATTTATAAACACAAGCTATTACGAATTGACTTAATTCATAATTTCTACACAATCCCTTTATAAAAGTACGTCTACAGATTTTAAAGATATTTGTTATTTTTTATCTATAATTTACGAGAATTTTTGACATAAAAATTATGACTAAATTCGAACACTAACCCGAGATAATTGCGTTATCTAGTGTTCTATTTTCTATGTTTCGTTGCATGCTTAACGTGTGCTTTCTTACTTCCTTTTATCTGCTGCCAGTGGCGATAAACAACTAGAGTGGTATTCCAATTTCTTTGATTTTTATACTCTATTGCGTCTCCTTCTTACTCTAGTGTGTCTATCACCGCTCACAGAAAAAATGAGTAAGAATGCACGCAATGAAAAGATTACCACTAAATTATAAATATTTTCAAAAAAAACTTTTTGACAAAACCACACAATTAAGAAAAAATATAAACATTTATAAATTAAATAATTTCATTAAATAACTCATTTTAAAAACAATTTCTCTTTTCTCTCCAAATAACTTGCGCGTGTCTTCCGTATCTGCTGACGCCCATACCTACTTCTGAGTATTATTCAAACAATTCAATTTTTCTATAATTTACGAGAATTTTTTCCTCCTCAACAAAAGAAATCAAATCATTTATTTAGATTATAGCGGAATGGTTTTGAAATAAATGGATAGACACGCTCAAGTGTTATCATAAATACATATCATTTGATAGGCAATTTCAGTAGAGCAATCAAAATTCCGGTGGATATCTATATTCATCTAACCTTTCTTTATTTTTTTGGTAATATTATTTATAATATTCACTTCTGTCAATCAATTTGTCCACTTCATTATCTGTGTCCTTTTTCGTATCTTTTAATTTTGGTTTTAAAGTTTCTTTATATTTTTGAATTTTAAAATTGACAGACGATTCAGCCCCATCATTAAATATTTTAGTGTGTTCCTTTGCTTATCCTTTTAAACATGCTCAATTAAACTTTTTTCAATGGATGTAGGTTTATCCAATGGACATAGTATCCAATTGATGAAACGATTAAAGACCAGCAAGGTTCATCATAGAAATTTTTAAAATTTATTCAGAAATTAATGAGAAATTTTGAATGTGGTTAGAAAGGATGAGAAATAAGAAAAAGGTTGGTGAAAAGGATGTGCTCTGTCCTCTTCCCGTACTTTGTTGCGTTCTTATTACACTAATTGCGTTCTGGTCGGAGAGAAAATGTTAGAAATTAATACATATTATGTACATCACTATGTTTCTGATGTAATACATGTCCTTTTACCGGATAAAATATTACATAATCCAATTATGATTTTACAACATAGTAATTATTCATTTCCTTTTTTCTACCTCGCACTTTCATTTCAATGAATTTTACTTGTTTGTATATTCAAAAATGCTAAAAAGGAAGTGCAATTGTCCTTTGATATTTCTTATTTTGTGTGTCTGATATGTCGATTATTTCTTTATTGACCTTTTATACATCTAATAGTGCAAAATTTCCACATTGTTATTATATCCTTCCCAAATTGTTATTTATATAAATTAAATTTTATTATACTCTATTAATTATTAAATATATTTTAAAATCTGTTTGGGATGAGAATTGTTAATTTTTTAACTGTTTTTATCTTCAATTGGTTATTATGGACTTTTGTTAAAACTACTTCAACTGAAGAAGGTTTAGCTGTTGAAAAGGATTACACGGAAAAGGATTTTTCTAAAATATTAAATGATGATGCTGAATCGTCGGTCAATCCTCAAAAGCAAAAATTTAAAGAAGTATTAAATCCAAAATTAAATAATACAAACGACACAGAAGGAAATAGTTTCGAAGACAAACTCTTTAAGAAAAAGAAAAACAATAAAGAGTATTATCAGAAAAATAAAGAATGGTTGCTTGAAAATAATCGAGAATACCGAAAACAGAACAGAGAAAAGATAAAAGAAACTAAGCGAAATTACTATGAAATAAATAAAAATAAATTAGAATATAAAACTAAAAAAAGTCAATATATGAAGGTTTACCGCCAAATAAATAAGGAAAGTATCAGGAAAAACCAGAAAATGTATAAACAAAATAACAGAGGAAATTGGAATGAATACCAACGAAAATATTACCGAAAAAATAAAAATATTCAAACTGATAATAATGAAGGAACTTTATTTGTTAATTCACAGACTGGTGATTTTACTAATAAAGTTAAATTACCAATTATGAGTGAGGCAGGAACTATTTTTAATCAGCGAAACGAAAAAAACAATAATGAAGAGGAGAAGCAAAAGCAACTCGACGAAGAAGAGCCAAATAAAATATTTGAAAATGACTCAAATAAAATAGATTTAAATAAGAAAATTTATCCTTTTAATCTGAACGAGATGCCTGGCGATGAAAAATGGGAAGATTCTTAAAAAGGACTAAAACGCTTTTTTACTTTATTTGTACAAAAATTTTATATTCAGTTTTCGAAAATTTTAAAAGTGGGATTCGGATTTTTGAAAATTTTTTAAATTTCCGGACCTTAATATATGCCCAACTGTTAGTTTTATATATCAATTTTATTAGTTATGTTGGGTTTAAATTAATTTTTAAAAACTGACTTTATTTTTAAATATAATAAATGCTATAAACATAATTATTTTATCAAAGTTGTATCTATTTTAATTATTTACTTTTATAAGTGGACATGTTTTGGTAAAACTATGATAGTTCAGTACCAGTTGTAGTAGAAGAATATTTATAAAAAATAGGAAATTAATCATGTATAGAAGAAAGTACTCAAAGATTTTGAAAAGAAATTTTCATGTTGTAACCTAAAGCATGGTCAATAATAATTTGATAATAAATTAAAAGAATTCTATAAGTTAAAATATTTTGAAAAAATAGAAAGGTATAGGCATGTTTTTTCAAATTGTTTTTATTTCCAATGTTTTAATGGTGTTGTCTTGTCCAGTCTGATCATAGGAGAAGAGCTGTTCTTAATAATCTTCGTATTCCTCATCCACATGTTTCTTGTTCAGATCAAAAGGATAATGTTTTTTATTTGAATCTAACTCTAATTGATTTTGAGCATCCTCGCCATTATTGCATTCTTCCTCCCCTTGATTAAAAATATTTCCGCTTTCCTCGCAAACATTAGGTAATTTACCTTTATTAGTAGAATCACCAGTCTGTGGATTAACAGATGAAGTTCCTTCATTATTATCAGATTGAGTTTTCTTTTCCTGTCGGTACTTTCGCTGGTAATTATTCACCTTTTCTCTATTATTTTTATTATACTTTTTCTGGTTTTCAATCAACCTTTCCTTATTTTTCTGATAATAAATTTTCCTATATTGGCTAGTTTTTTCAATATTCCTTTTGCTGTAATTACGTCGACGTTCAAGCAACCTTTCTTTATTTTTTGATAATATTCTCTATCATATTCATTTTTGTTAAACAATTTGTCTTCTCTATCTGTTTCCTTTTTTGTATTTTTTAATTTAGATTTCAAGATTACTTTATATTTTTGATCATGAGGATTAATCGACGATCAGCCTCGTCATTTAATATTTTTGTTGCCGTATAATCCTTTTCAACACGTCTAGCTAAACTTTTTCGAATAGAAACAGTTTTAACAAATGTGCATAAAATCAAATCGAAGATTAAAACATCAAAGAAACTAGCAAGATTCATTCTAGACAAATTTTAAAATTTATTTAGTATCAAGCGTGTTCCTTGCCTCCTCGCTGATTAAAAACAACTAAATAACAATTTTTAATATAAAATCGAATTATATCAACGAAAATTTGTGAGGAACGGCATGTAAATAATGTTTTGAAATAGATATTGTTATTGATATTGTAAATATATAAAAGGGCAATAAAGATAGAGAGTCGAATTATCAAACAGGAAATTAAGAAATCTCAAAGTGCAATCATTTTTAAATTTCTAAATATAAAAACAAGTAAAATTCATTGAAAGTAAAGTGCGCAGACGAAAAAACTTTAAAAGTATAATTATAAATTATTTTCAAGGGTAGATTGGGAGAAATCCTTAAACAATCTTTTGTAAACGGAGTTGTTGAGGGAGGTAAAAGCGATATTTCAATAATATATTATTTTCTTTATCCAATGAAGATGATGATATATTATTTTGGTAATAAGTTTCTTTTCTGTAGCTTTTGAAAGCTTGCAAAAAATTGGAAATTTATCATTATACATATATTAAAAAATAAATATTAGGTGGAATGAATGATTAGTATAAATAAATTGTTTTTAGGAAAATATAAGAAGAGCGAATCTTATGATTATTTAGTTATCGGGACGTGGACTTGAACACTTAATCTATCTTCTCCATTTCCATCGTTAGGTTTCTCGTTCAGATCAAAAGGATAAATTCACGCATTTGAATCTGCGTCATTTGTATTTGTATCATGCTCAATTATTTTATTAGGCTCTTCTACCTCGATTTGATTTTGCTCATCATCGCCATTATTGCATTCTTCCTCCTCTTGATTAGAAAGAATTCCTTCCTCCTCGCAAACAATTGGTAATTTACCTTTATTAGCAAAATCACCAGTCTGTGGATTAACAGAAGAAGATCCTTCAATATTGTCAGATTGAACGTTTTTCTTTTTTTGGTAATATTCTCGCCTGTACTCATTCAGTTTTTTCTTATTATTTTGGTAATAAATTTTCTGGCTTTCAAGGATACTTTTTTTTATTCCTTTTATAATAATTTCGCTTTTTTTCTTTTATCATTTCTTTATTTTGTTTTCGGTATTTTCGACTTTTCTCAACCAGCCTTTCTTTATTTTTTTTGTAATATTCTTTATTCTGTTCACTTTTGGTAAACACTTTGTTTTCTTCATTATTTTTAACTGTGTCGTTTTTTGTTAAAGTTTCTTTATATTTTTCAATTTGAGGATTAACCGACGATTCAGCCCCGTCATTTAATATTTCAGTTGCCGTGTGATCCTTTTCAGCCCGTTTAGCTAAACTTTTTCGAATAGAAACAGTTTTAACAAATGCCCATAATATCGCAATGAAGATTAAAAGACTGGCATATTTCATCCTAAACAAATTTTAAAATTTATTTTTGAGAATTTAATGGAAAATAATAAAATTCAATTTAAAATTAAGTAATTTATAAGAGAATGCTAAGGCTATAAAAACATCTTGTAAATTGAGTTTGTAATAAAATTGATATAGTAGATGTATAAAATGGGAAGAAAAGGTTATAAAATTTTAAAGGGCAGTCACACAAGCATTTTTACATTTATAAATATAAAAACAAGTAAATTCATTGAAAGGAAAGTGCAAGTCGAAAAAAGCAATTACACTATAACTACCAGCCTTATATAGAAATTCAAGATAATTTCTCCCAAACAACGATCTCACTATTGTTTGTAGAATCTATATGTAAATATGTTTTCGTTGTCACTCCTCAATTCGTCTATTTCTATCCCTATCAGGGATGTCACGGGTAGAGAAAAATGTCGGGTCGGGTTTCCAAAATTTTTCTCGGATCGGGTTTCGGGTTGAGCAAAAAGTCGGGTCGGGTTTCGGATCGGGTTTTCAAAATTTTCTTCGGATCGGGTTTCGGGTCGAAAAAAGCCAAAATTTTGAGAATTTTGGAAGGCCAAAAGCCAAAAATCTTCCCTTCTCAGCGCCGCAGGCGAAAATTTTGAAAATTCTTGAGGGTCCGAAGCCAGATTTCTTCCTTTTTCAGCGCCGCAGGCGAAAATTTTCAGAATTTTGGAAGATCATTAAGCTAAAAATCTTCCCTTTTTCTGCGACGCGGGCGAAAATTTTGAGAAAACTCGGGTCGGGTTTCGGGTCGGGTTTTGAAAAATAAAAATTCTCGGGTCGGGTTTCAGAAAATTTCTCGGATCGGGTTTCGGGTATCGGGTCGAAAAAAAGGCCGGGTTTCGGGTATCGGGTTTCGGGTAACCCGTGACATCCCTGATCCCTATCCTGGCTCGAAATATATACGATAAGAAAGGACTCTTAATCAATTCATAAAAATAAACTACAAATTTTGTTATATAATTTGGATTTTAATTCCTAAAATGAAATAGAGAAAAAATTCAGGTAAATTTGTAAGTGTGTTTAATCCTTAAGCGTTTATTTTGTTTATTTTTCAGTTTATTCAATAGCCAAAATACAGCCGATATGATGAAGGAATGCCTAAATCGTGGAAAATAAAAATGTACTTTCTCAAGGTTATTTGGTGAAGTTAAAGATTCTACTTCTAAATATTATTTGGTGGAACTTGTTGCAAAAAACGTCGACAGTTTTACTTAATTGAAGATAGGTCAATTTTAAATTTTAATTTTAACCTTGGTCAGTTGTCAAGCATGTGAATTATGTTTTGAAATAGATATTATTGTTGAAATAGTAAATGTATAAAAATTTCCTTCTTCCTCGCAAACAATTGGTAATTTACTTTTATTAACAAAATCACTCGTCTGTGGATTAACAAATGAAGTTCCTTCATTATTATTAGATTGATCATTTCTCTTTATCTGTCTGGATTTTCGCATGTTTTCATTCCGTTTTTCTTTATTATTTTGGTGATATATCTTCTGATATTCCAGTATAGTCTGAGTATTTTTTTGGTAGTAACTCTTCTGATATTGAATTCTTTCGCTTCTATTCCTTTTATAGTAATTTCGCTGAGTTTCTTTTACCTTTTCTTTATTTTGTTTCTGGTAATTTCGTCTACGTTCAAGTTCCTTGTCTTTATTCTTTTCATAGTAATTTCGCCTATTTTCAAGCAACCTTTCTTTATTTTTTCGGTAATATTCCCTATCATATTCATTTTTATTAAACAATTTGTCTCCTCTATCTGTTTCCTTTGTATTTCTTAGTTTTGGTTTTAACGTTTCTTTATATTTTTTATTTTGAGGATTATACGACGATTCAGCCCCATCATTTAATATTTTCGTTCCCGTATAATCCTTTTCAACACGTCTAGCTAAACTTTTTCGAATAGAAACAGTTTTAACAGAAGTCCATAACAACCAATTGAAGATTAAGACTACCAAAAAACTTGCAATTTTCATTTTTAACAAATTTTAAAACTTATTTAATTAAAAACGCGTTCCTTTCCTCACCGCTAATAAAAACAAATAACAATTTTTAATTTAAAATCGAATTTATATAAACGGAAATTTGTGAGTAAGAGCATGTAAATTATGTTTTGAAATAGATATTGTTATTGATGTAGTAAATGTATAAAAGGGCAATAAAGATAGAGAGTCGAATTAACAGACAGGAAACTTACGAAACTCAAAAGGGCAATCACACAACCATTTTTACATTTATAAATATAAAAACAAGTAAAGCATTGAAAGGAAAGTGCAAGTCGAAAAAAGCAATTACATAATAATTAAGCAAAAACTTAAAAATTCTTTTAAACTTTCAAAATAATAAATTGTATTTAGTAGACAATTTATCCTAGTATTTCCCTCTATTTTCAAGGGGCGAAAATATTTTTAAAATAAATTTTCACTGTTTATAAACACAATTTTAACCATCAAAAATTTTTTTAACCTATTTTTAGCGCTATTTTTAGCGCCACAGGTGAAAAAAATTTTTGATTGTTAAAATTAGTTACATATAATCAGTGAAAATTTAAAAAAACATTTTCGCTCTTTAAAAAAAGAAGGAAATAATAGGCAAATTGTCTACTAAATACAATTTTTTATTTTAAAAGTTTAACGGAATTTTTAGGTCCTTGACTAATTATTGTGTAATTACTTTTTTCGACATGCACCTTTTTTTCAATGAATTTACTTGTTTTTACATTTATAAATATAAAAATGGTTGTGTGATTGCACTTTGAAATTTCGTAAATTTCCTGTCTATTAATTCTACTCTCTATCTTTATTGCCCTTTTATTCATTTACTATATCAATAACAATATATATTTCAAAACATAATTTACATGTTGTTCCTCACAAATTTTTGTTTATATAAATTCGATTTTAAATTAAAAATTGTTATTTGTTTTTAATTAGCAGTGAGGAAAGGAACGCGTTTTTAATTTAAAAATTTTAAAATTTGTTTAGAATGAAAATTGATAGTTTTTTGATTGTCTTAATCTTCAATGGGTTGTTATGGACTTTTGTTAAAACTACTTCAATTGAAGAAAGTTTGGCTACTAAAAAGGATTATACGGCAAAGGATCTTTCTAGAATAGTAAATGATGAGGCTGGGTCGTCTGTCATTCCTCAAATTCAAAAATATAAAGAAACTTTAAAATCAAAATTAAATAATACAAAAGAAACAGAAAAAGGAGACAAATTGTTTAATAAAAATGAATATGATAAGGAATATTACCGAAAGAATAAAGAAAGGATGCTTGAAAAGAGACGAAATTACTATGAAAAGAATAAAGACAAGGAACTTGAACGTAAACGAAAATACCGAGAAATTAATAAGGAAAAGATAAATGAGTATCAAAGAAATTACTATGAAATTAATAAAAATAAGTTGAAAAATGATAGTAAATCTTACTATCAAAAAAATAAAGATACGGTACTGAAAAAACAGAAAATATATAAAAGGTAAATTACCAAATGTTTGCGAGGAAGAAGAAAATCTTTTTAATCAAGAGGATAAAGAATGCAACAATGGCGAAAATGAGCAAAATCAAATCGAGGTAGAAGAGCCAAATAAAGTTCTTGAAGATGTCATAATGAATAAAGATTTAAATAAGAAAATTTATCCTTTTGATTTGAACGAGAAATCTGAGGATGAAGAATATGAGGATTATTAAATAGAACGGAAGATTATGATTAAAAAGAAGATTAATTTAAAAAACCTAGTTTTTAGTCGATAAACAAGAATAAATTACTTTATTGATTAACAACTGTGTACTTTTTCCCATGATTATTTATTTTTTAATCTGTACATAATAAATTTTCCGAACTTTAAAGTTGTTTCTATTTCTATCCTTATCCTGGCTCGAAATATATACTATAAGAAAGAATCTTAATCTAATTCATAAAAATAAACTACAAATTCTGTTATACAATTTTGATTTTAATTCATAAAATCAAATACAGAAAAAATTCAGGTAAATTTGTAAGTGTGTTAAATCATTAAGCGTTTATTTTGTTTATTTTTTAAAGTTTATTCAATAGAAAAAATACAGCTGATATGTTGAAGGAGTGCCTAATTCGTGGAAAATAAAAATGCAGAAATACTTTAGCTGATTTAAAACGTTGTGCACCGAAGTAACAATTGATAATTAAATCATGGTGGCTCTTTACAAGCCAAGAAGAGTACTTTCTCAATGTTATTTGGTGAAGTTAAAGAATTTTGGCTAATTCTAAATATTATATATAATATACCTAATTCTAAATATTATTTGGTGGAACGTGTTGCAAAAAACGTCGACAGTTGTATTAAATTGAAGATAGGTCAATTTTACTTTATAATTTTGTCAGTTGTCAAGCATGAAATTATGTTTTGAAATAGATATTGTTATTGATATAGTAAATGTATAAAAGGGCAATAAAGATAGAGAGTCGAATTATCAGACAGGAAAATAACGAAATCTCAAAGGGCAACCATTTTTAAATTTCTAAATATAAAAACAAGTAAATTCGTTGAAAGTAAAGTGCAATTCGAAAAAAGCAATTACACAATAATTAATCAAAAACAGAAAAATTCCGTTTCAAAATAAATAATTGAAAAAAATTGAAATGTCAAAAGCAGGCGTCCTTACGTTTTTAAATATCGAAATAAATAAAAATTTATAGAAAGGAAAGTGTAAGAGGAAACAAATTCCCTAATAATTAAACACAAAAAAGAAAGATTTGAATAAAAATTTGTGAGAGAGACTTTAAATTTTCTATGATTTTTTGTCTAAAAGCAACTCTAAAAGAGAGTGAGAGGAAGTTAGAGGAAAATTTTTATCTTCCGTTCTTTTTAATAATTTTTTATTCATTATCCTCATGTTTCTCGTTCAAATCAAATGTATGAATTTTCTTATTCGTTTCTATACAATTTGTGTCATCTTCAAGAACGTTATTTGTCTCTTCTATCTCAATTTGATTTTG